ATGAATCTTATATTTTACTATAAATTGCTCCGTAAGCAAGCGCACTCATGCAGCCCGGAAATTAAAATAGTTGTAAAATCCACCCACTATTTACGTAATCACAACCTATTAGGTGAAAACAGGTGGTGTAAGACCAAACTGTGAAGAAACTTCTTTCTTAACAAGTTCTCTCACATCTGGAATAGGCTTCCCGTGGAAAACATATACTGCAGGTTCATCATCTATCTTTCGTTCTTATCCTAGCAAGCTCCCATCAGGTGCTGAGTCTACCACTCGTGTAGGCACCATCTACACGTTCCGAGCTAATGAAAGCATACTAGGACCTCTAAACGTATAGAGCAAAGCTATCATAAATCTCAAGTGCTTTTTACCTCAATGGACTTATAAAGGGTGTTTGATTACTGGTCCATCTGGTCGGATTGTGCAGTATAAATGCGTGACCAGTGTTCCCTTTAAGTTTACCAGCAAAAACTTCATATGAGAAAAAAGTAAGAGTTATTCTTACATGCATGAATTAAAGTTTACATACAGCTCGAATGACTCTAAAAAGACAGGAACTACTCTCCTCCTAGGTTGTCTTGCGTGGTATTCCATTGTCAAGTTTCTTCTTGTGCTTTCTTTTCTCTTCTGTTTTCAGCATCGGCCTGACGAGAAAGTCCTAAGCATTAATTTGATCAAAAAGTGTCAACTTACTGAAAGTCCTAGTTCATACGTGATACTAGAAACCAATGTTAGAAGTGTCCAGCTGGCTTGCCCCCTATTTCCTGTCCTTCTAACAGCTTCACAACAAACTGTCTTTCCTACCAGTGCCATGAATAACACCACACACAAAACCTCAGTCACAATTACTGGCCTCCGATTTCTGGTGCGTCACAAGTTCAGCGGAAATGTGGATGGACAATCAACTCGGGAGATCACTTCGCCTAACGGCAACACATCCATAATTATGCTCTGCGACAGATTTCTCCGGTACTTAGTCTTGTATCAATCCATCTGACAAAAGTCCATTAACAGCCAATGTATCTTCCTGTCAATGCCGCATAATTTAATGTGAAATCTACAAATTTTTACACATGTGTGATATTCACCACCGTCGAACGACGATTCTCCCAGTCTTTAATCACTTGCACCACAACAAATATTTTCAGTACTACCAACCAGAATTGCTGGGAAAGATAACACTTGAAGGGTGAAAAATGCTTGAACTTAGACATTCGCCTGGATTAAATGATTGTATGGATACTTACTCATTCCTGGAACCGTTGAAAACCACTGTTAAAATAGACGTTTATCTGACGATATCGACTACTCATAAGGCAAACACCGAATGTTACGCCGCTTGGTGCCACTATAGAGCAAAAAGAAGAATTGCAAGTAGCAATGATCTAAACTCAGAACGATGCGTAAGTACTGTGAAGTGGTGCTCTCCCGATATTTCTATGACTTTTAGACGCTTGATATTATGATAGAATTTAATGTCCTCCTGTACCATTCAAGAGTGCTCAAACCTTTTACGTTTCTCTGCGCTTATCAATTTGATGGGGCCCGTGAACCGGCCTCTCTTATGTCAACTTCACAGCTTGAGATTAGAGACATTTACTTATTTATTATTTATTTGCTAGTACGGAGGTTGACCGGGCATACACTGAGAAGGCCATTTGGGGACATCGCGCACTGGGCCAGGTCCTCGGGTGGAACCAAAAGAGGAAGTGAGGAGTTGGGCGTCTGAGGTGACACAGGGAAGATGGTGTGTGAGGAAGAGATCAAGGCTTCTGAGCAGCGGTATAGCGGGTTAAAAAGGCAGTGGAGAGGAATGTAAAATAGTGACGTGCTCCTGAAGCTCTATGCTCCATCAGGAACCTAAAGGACGAACAATGATAGCAAAACTCCCCTAGTTACGCAAGACATGGTGTGCATCGAACTCATAAGGCAGAATGTTCGTTTGCCCGTGACTTGCTTGTAGGGCTTATGTTTCAGGTTGCTGAAAATCCTGAATAAATTTCTTTCTCTTGTTCATCTGCAGCGTAATTTCTTGTAAACCAATCAGTCTCCGAGTAAAATCTGCTTTTCGACTCTTTTTCTGTACATGCTAACATAGCAGAAAGCCAACGATCAGAGTTATCAGTGGTGACTGTTTGAATCAAACCGCATCTATGTAACAAGCAATAGGCGGAGACTTTGTCCTTCTATGTCTCCTTCACAGGTGTAGCCGACGCCGACCACTCTCGAGTATTCCTTATGCAGCGGTATTAGCTTATTCGAGGAAAAGCATGGCCTTGACAGCATCCGTGAATTTCCTGGCCTCTAATAAAGTTCCTTCGACTTCCTTTTCTGCCACAGGAACTTAAAAATTTCAGGCAGCATCCTACGTTGAACAAAATTACGTTGGTGATTACGCAATCACTTTTTGTGGCCTTCAACTTTATATATCTGACATCTTTTGCCGTGGAGGCGTTATTCAGCTCATCTTTGATATATCGGGTTAATTCATCTGTAAAGCGTGGCCGCTTTAAAATTTGCCTCGATTTGTCCTTCTCTTCCCCTGTCAGTCGTCTGCTTTGAGGACCTGAAACCGTGGGGGACTGGGTTTGGAGATAGCAAGGAACCATTTTGTAACACCTGATATACTGATTCGTCTTCGTTGCTAATCGAGACGATAATGGATAATTTCGAAATTCCGACGTCAGACTTTTCTTACCAGTTTCGAGAAGTGCGGTTTGCTAACCAGCCGGTACCTTGGGAATTACACCCAGTAGTGCAGCGAAGTCACTGAGTGGCAGGTAACGAAGATACGAATCTCCAGAGCTCCGACACCCAAAGGCGAAGCCAACCAAATCTAAAGCACTCGGATGCCAAACAACTGGCGTATATTTAAGTTGTAAATGAACTCCGAAAATTATCCTTTGCAGCAAAATATATGCACAAAAGTTGGTCACAATACTTTGATTTTAACGGCTACTTCAGTTTACCGTGGAAGCGAGATGCGGTGGTGACACCGATCGCAGCAAACACCACAGTATGGTTAAACAAACAAATTGGACGAGGCCAAACAAAATGAATGATCAACGTCTTTGAATATGTTACAGGAATAAATATCGAAAAGAGTGCAACGCCTGGGCACAACAGAAATGTACCTAAAACTACCGCCTCTCAGCTCTTTTATTTTAACGTGAGCGTAAAGACTATGAGTAGCCCGTGTTTTTCTCTAAACACAACATTTACACACGTTTTGCAACTCATTGCCAACATCCTTCAACCGTATCCAAATGTACACTTTGTGTTTTGCACAAATGTTGCCTGTTTCAGCAATGGGTGTTCGGCATGCTAAATACGCAAATTTAAATAGCAAGTAGTCAACCCTCTGCCAATCAGAAGGCTTTCGGTGTCGACTTTGATCTAGAGGAAAGGCAACAAATGTTTACCATGCCTTTGAGGAGGCTTAGAGAGAAATATTATGATACGTAAGGACAACGTTGTGCAATCGAAGTAGATGCCAGAGGCCTGTACGCAGTTGGCGGATCCCACGAGGTGACCCCATTCATTGCCTTGCCTGCTGACTCTTATATCACTGACATCAGAAGTGACGTTGCTGTTACTTATTTTGGTAAGCACACCCGCTGTACGAGGGTTAGGAATCCTTAAACACCATATGGAAGAAACATGTCACATTACTAGGGTAGATCAACTCCCGCAAGTTCCGATATCCATCGTGTATCATTAGCTTCCCGAATTCTACGCCTGTCATATTGATAATTTGTCTTGGTGGTGCGTTCCGTTCGATTGGCTGTAGCGTCCTACTTTGCTGCTCATCACTGAGCCTTCAAATCACCGGTTCGACGGACAGTTACTCTGACGACATATCGCGGTTGTGTACGGTGTTATCAGGCTCTACAACTTCTCGACACCCGAAATTCATCTTAATTCGTAAAGTGAGAAGGCAACCCAAGAGCGTAGATCCGTAATGCATGTGTAATGGCTTTCACCACTGAACTTACTGCCATTTTCGCTGCTTGCTGCATTCTGACTTAACCCACCGACTAACATAACAACGAAAAACAGCGGACCCGTACTTGTACGCTGGGTCCACGCCACTGTTGTTATCCCTGTTTACGAGAAAATGCCAAATCCTGTTCAGAATGTTAGTTTCCTTCAGCATTTAATGACAACTTCATTCATTAAACAGTCCAACTCTTGGAATCATTTGATGCACTCTTCGCACTCCTGCCATGTTCGTAAGCTTCCTTAGGAGTTATCCTAGTGCGAAACTGACAGATGCAGAGGCCGGTCATTAACCGCTCGCACTTGTTATTGACTCACGAACATGAGACCAAGGAAGAACACAGAAGCGTAGTCAGATGGAATAGTATACTTGCAAGGTCGTGCCAAAATACCGATGAGTTCCAACTGACTGTCTACAGGATCGATTACTAGCAGTGCGACTGCATGCCAAATGGCGACCATTCTAGACTAGGTGCCTTCAGTTTAACGATTCCGGTAAAACCATCAAATTCGGGATCAATGTTGAACCTTGTCGAATCCTAGGCTACTGATCCTGGAGAAGTATGTAACGCCACAGTGTCATCTGATCATTGAGGCCCTATCTTATCCTTCCAAGAACACTTAGCAGAAACATTTCATGTTGACTAAAGCCACGATTAAAATCATCGTTTACCCCACAAACTCTGGTGCTCTGCTGTCTATGTTAAGGATGAAACCATGCTTCTTTGATCAGTTGAAAGGATATGAATATTAGGCAGTTCACTCAAAGAATCCTGAGGACTATTTCACGACAAAAATCAGTAGATTTTTCTAAGTCTGGTTATTGTGTAAGTATTGTAGGCTTAACATTGGAAAGCCGGGCTTACTATAAGTTAGCACAATACGTTATTTACCTGACATTACACGACACTCATAGAAAAAAACATGTTAATTCATAGAAACAAGATTCTACAATACAGATTCCTGTGATAGGCGTTAAGAAAAAGGAGCACCTTGCTTCAGCGCAATGTCTTAACAGTTGCGTTACTGTGACGCGGTTTGCCCTGTAGCCTGTAAGTCCTTTTTTCATCAATATGTCATCATGTTTTAGTGATTTTGCATAGGTTGATAGTTGGCTCAAAAACATCAGCGTATCACATGCTGGAAAGTTGCAGTGACCGATAATTTGAGAGTAAGATTTAGGCATTGTGGTAGAGTTTAACTCCACATATTAGATTGTTTATTCGATGAAACACGTAGACATATAAAAGTTTACTTGGCTACATTTTGGGCAGAACTTACTGCCATAATCTTATCAAAGCAATCATATGACTTTCAAACTACCCTTATAATGTAGAACTGCTGTATAACTATACAATCTTCATTCAATCCAACGATCCATTCATGTATTTTGAGTGGCAATAAAAATTTGCAGATATTTGAAATATGTGATGAATCATACCTATGTCACATATGGTACGTATTAACTCATTAAATAAAGATGTGATCAGTCTCCAGGTAGCTATGGGATTTCAGAATTGTCATCCTGCCCTACCCTATTGTACGATTATGGGTCATTGCAACCAATATCTATTTGCTAGCGAGGCTAGTGTAAACCGATGAATCCCTTCATGCTCGACTCTAGACATTGCGGGAAGGTCCCAGGTCATCGGTGGATTCCGATGCAGAAGACCTACCCACTCGCCTGCTGTAATACTGGGGGTTGGATGTTGACTTACATTGTAGGGATTGTAGGGCTTTTCGAAAGACTGTGGCGCAGATGGGTTGTTCAAGTGTCGTGAAGAGAGCGATAGCTGAGTTTTTGAATTACTTATCTCAGTAGGGTGTGACATTGTGTTTCGCTGGATTTTTGTGGTCTGCGACTGTGACTGAAATCGATAGGCTACTTTGAGTACATGAGGGGAGATTGATCACAGGATCTTTGTTCAGTGAGTCAACACGCGACATTGTAACAGGGATGACTCACCACACATTGTGAATACCTGGAAGATTTTAAGACCACCAAGATAAGAGAATGAAGAACGGTTTGACTATGTAAATGAAGTTTGAAAGTTGTATAAGCCCTTTGATATGAATATGAGCAGTAAATTCTGCTCTACGTGTGATCCAGCAAATTATAATGTATTACTGCGTGCTTGATAGAATAAAGAATCTAATATGGATTTGCAGTGGCCGTGCCCTCTGAGACACAACGAGTGGACCTGACTTATTTCTCAGAACTGTTAGGTGGCAGGAAACGCATCCCAAACGTTTTAAAACTCCTGCTTAAAGTGTCCAGAGGACTCTGCGTCTTATCAGCGCCTTCATCTAACAGGACTGGGTCACCTGCGTATTCTTGATATACCAAGGGTTCTCCTGTGATTGGATCAATCCTTGAGAAGTCAGGTGGTGAGAGGAAGACCTCCATAAGTGTGTCTGTGATGAGATTGAATCGGAATGGACTGAGTGAGCATCCTTGACAGACATCATTTGATATACACAGCTCACCCGAAGACTCGTCATAGGCTCAAATACGGAGCGTTCAACAGAGTGATGTACTTATTCGCCACACCTTTCAGTGAAAGACACCACCACAAAACGTCTCGATAGATTGAGTGAATGCTGCCTTCAGGCAGAGAAATACAACCAGTATTGGGTGTCGGTAAGTGTGCCTTTGTTCCAGGTCTTGGCTAAGTGTGAATATCTGGTCGATACACCCAAAGTCAGGTCTGAAGCCTCCCTGATTTTCTTGGACCTGCTGTTGCCGAGCTTCACTCAGATATCTGTTGATTATAGAACCTAGAATATTAGACACTATACTCGTCAAGCTGATTATCATAGGAAGAATTCCCGCCTTTCTTAAATACTGGGACGATTAGGGATTAAGACCTAATCGGAGGGGATCATACCTGACTCCCATACGCTAGTTAGCACCAGTTAACTTGACTAAAAATCCCCTACCAACGTCTCCAAGTACTCCTGGAACTAATCCATCTTGGGCTGCTACTATTCCTCGCTTTAGGTTACCTATAGCTTTCTCGATTTCTCCAGTTGTCGGGGGTCCTATCTTGATGTTCCTTTTGGGATCCGATTGGAAGGTGGGTAACGAAATAGCTGGAGGCCAGTTGAACTGTTCTCCGAAAAGTTCCGCCTACCGTTGCAGTCGTCTCCCCGACGAGTGAATCTCAGATCCATTTTTTCCGCTATAGTCTTACTAATCACTAACCTTTTCACATCAATTTCCCTAATGCATCTAAATAACTACTGTTCCCTTTCACATCTATCTTCGTCATCTCTTTAACCTTCACTGTTCATCACCATTCGTGGTCATTGCGTAGACTTTTTGCTAGTCTATATTTGAGTTTCTTCCGTTCCTAGTTGGGGTTAAAACCTGCAGACATGCGTTTATGTTCATCTATTGGTTCTTGAGAAACTGCTGAAATCGACTTGTTTTTGTTAACCCCTTCCTGAGAGTCAGCGACGGTCTTCATCAATTTTCACTGCAGACTGGAGATGGCTCCAGTATTCTTCTGGATGAGAGATGTTGTTCTGTCCCGAAAACTAAGTTTCTCTCATAACAGCACTAATATTCTCATCGTCAAGCTGCACTTGCAATGATCTTTTTGCTGCAGTTTTTCTATATCCACTAAGACGTAGGCATCCACCTGCTCGAACCAATGCTTGTTCGTTATCCAGACATTCTCCAAAAGAAGGTAACAGTCTTCCCCTGACCCTCCTTGTCGATAAATGATAACAATATGGTCTGTCTTTGTCCGCTACTGAGTTAAGGTCGGTAGACGCCACCTCAGACAATGTCTGAAGTTCGTTATGGCTAGGAATAAATGGTTGTCTAAGCACAGTCGTCGCAGGCAATTACCGTTATGTTTATTTGGGTGGGATTCTGAAAATACCACCTAAATGTCTTTCTGTCTAACTTAGAACCTATGCACTTGTGCATTGAAATCACCTGCAACAACAATTACATCTGAACTTTGAACCTTCAGCATGAAGCTAGATAGTTTTCGGTGGAACTCATCTTTCACGTCTTCCAAACTGCCATCAATGGGTGCGCAGGGAGAGATTAAGAAGAGATAATGGCTAGTTTCATCATTATTTTTAGCTCTCACTATGTCGTTCAGTCAAAAAGTGCATAGACAACTGCAAACTGGGATTCATTCGAGTAGTGAACTTTCTGCATTAGCACTTAATGCTTTGCCTACTACCTGGAAGACCACGAGAACTAACCATCAAATTTCTATAAACTCGTAGGGTGAGTTGTGCAGGTTTACCATATTGACCACGTGAGGTGAAGTGAAAAACCCCATTTGAGTCTTGTATACATGTCTCACAAACACAACACGTCCGAGATACTAGTGTTTTTCCTATGGGACTTTCTTAAATTTTGGCGGAGGGTGTGGACATGGAATGCTCCAGTATGTAGTCCGAAGCGCCGTCTCAGGAGTTCTAGGATGCTCTTATATCAACTCAAATCGTTTTCAAGAGCTGTAGAGATGAAAGGAAATATAAACTATGTAGGAGCTTTGTCTGGGAGGCGTGAAGTAAGATAAAATAGTGGGCATATGGAACATAAACAGTGATCTAAGATGAAGTTGAGAACCTTCACTGACTGATGTGGCTTAGACATGTGTTGCGCATGCCCAATCACTACCTACCTACCTCGACTCCCAATGTTAGCCTTACTTGCATGGGCTCAAAAGGAGACTGAGTATGGTGAAAAAAGACGTCACACCCATCTATCAAGTCTCCAAATGTTGGCTTGAGTCGTGTAGGGAGGTGTACACGACCTGGTTGGTGTCCTCGGGGTAAGAACAACCAATGATTGGGAAGCCTTGGTGATATGACTGAAAATCGGTCACAGTGACGTAAATGTATTCACTGTTTGAAATCTTCGAAATTTCAACATTCTCACTGACTTTAATCTTTCAAATTGTTTCTACTCCCATACACTTTTGTCGACTTTGATATCACTTTTTCTTTCGGCTTGTGCTTTGTATGCTAAAATGTCATGACTTTAACGGACGCAGTTCTGCGTGACTTTATGCGTTGACTTTGTCTAGCTGATGCGAATGTGGCGTGAAGCGCAATGTTTACTAAAATGAAATTATGTTGCAAGAGTGCAAGGTATGTGGAAGTTAACGTTTTATTGTTGATTTGAAGAGAAATTATATATGTTGATTAATATAGAATTCCGTGATAATAGATTTCAAATGATTCGTCTAACCTACCTTCCGTGATACATACATCAAATCACTTGTGATTTGGGACTTGCGTGAAATTTTGCTTAGTTTCGAAGCCCGAACAGGCTTTCCAGGTGTGTTATGCCAGCTTTCTTACAGCATGAATTATGAAGATGAAAACAATACTACTATGTTTTGCTATTTCGTCAGAGTTAGGGGTTTATTTTTGCGCAACGTTCCTAGTCACTAAACACCACAACATGTTACGTTAGTTCAGAATTGTAGTAGATTGCAAGGAAGTCGCTTGATGATGTGATCCAGAATTGTAATAAATCCATTAGTTCACTGACCACTGACATAAGCTATGTAGATGACTGTGTGCCTTCAGATTGGGAGATATAAAACTACCAATATCCATCCTTGAAGGCTTAAGGTAATTCAGCGTCGTTTGTCACGCTGGCCAAAATTCACTCACCTTTTGTCTTCCTTCAAGTCTCATATTTTATTCTGTGCACTGACATCCTTTTTTCTTGTCTTACCACCATCCATGTTATCATTCTCATCTCTTTGTTTTTCCTTCTGATAATTTCAGTATGATGACGTGAGGAGCGAAAACGTGAACTGATTTCGCTGTTTTTTCAAAAATTTTCTACATACTGTTGTAGCTCATATTTATTCGTCTTGTCTTTTTATCAAAAAACCTTGTCCCATATTTTTTTATACCACATTTCTTGTTCTCTTGTACTGAAGTAACAATCTATGTTTTACCTCATTTCCGTATATTCGACAAACGTTTTAACTGAGTAAACTTCAAAGTCACCAGTCCATGAAGTAATTGGGTGTTGTTAGGTTGTGATCCTGAGGATGTAAGAAATCAGTAGCTAGATGCTCCTTGGTATGACTCAGTTGGTTACCATGACTCATGTGTTCCGTCATCATCAAATTTCGAAATGTCTCGCTAACGTCCATATTCGTGTTCTTCCATTTTGAATTTTGGCATTTGCTTTGTTTGGGTACTTATCTATAGTGTTGTGATCTGTGGCATTGTTAAAGTGCTACACTTTCATTTTAGGATCTAAGTCGGTTTCTCTGTGTGTAATTTAACGAACTCGTGCGTCTACCGTTTTCTGTCTTTCACTAATGACTGGTCATCATTAAAACCAACCGTACTGGCTCACCAGATGCTATTGATACATATCTCGGTTTCACTCACTTATATTAATGGTTACACAATTTCAAGCTGATAATGCCAACTTCGTGCTCATCCATTTCTCAACTATGGAGGTTTGGTGACGGGTTCGTTACTTTTGAACGCTAGGAATTTTGTATAAGTACCCATAAGTTGCGTTTATTGTTGCATAGTTAGATATATGGAGGTTATTACTTATCTGTGCTTATGCGACAAGTTACAATAAGCTGTCATGTGGGTTAACCAAATTAGGCAGAATTCTCTGAGGACGCCTCTTACTTCTAACTCAATCACAATAGGCGTCTTTTGGCTATAGCTTTAACTTTCAGTTTTGATTTTCTCTTCAAGAGTATTCTAACTGACCAGGGATATGGGAGTGGGTTTATATATTACTGATTTTAGGCGTACAGTTTTTTCAGCGCTAACATTTAAAGTTTTTGAGTCTGAAATTGTCTTTCGGGAATAGTCAGTTGCATTAATTTCGGTAATCTAGTTCTCAGAAAAACTTCATTATGAGTTATAGAAACTCTGCGTATCTTGCCACTAATGCATCTACATCAAGGAGTAAGTGTATAGTGACCTACTCTACTCTACAGGTATAAAATGTGATTGATAAACGTAAGCTATATTAGATACGAAATACTTTATATCCCGTAGCCGGATCTCCTGAAACTATCTTTCAGACGTAGTGGAACCGTTAGAAAATTAGTTTGAAAGCTTTGGAAAGTTATCGGCTTATTGAGGAATCTGTTCCTGATACCAAATTATTTCATGCCTCGTCGTGTCTTGGTGGTTGAAGTAAAAGTATTTTTGAAATTACCTTCCAGTTAATTACTATAAGTCATTTCTATTAAACGTAGTTATTAACGGATTACATTGGATACAAAATTATGGGCTTGCTGGTTAGGATAGTGTGATAATACACATTTGAAAGTCATTCTTAATGTCTCTTATCCAGTGTTTGTATTTGCTACTAGTGTTATCCGTTTAATTATTTGTTTCCTTTTATTGTATTTCATCATTCTCGCTGTACTGTTTAGAATTTCGGTGAAGTGGATCCATATCTTGTGCCAGGTTCTACGATGGCACAGGAAACCAGTTTCCTAACGAAAATGCTTTGTCTCTTCACGTCTCCAGCTCCGTCTTCTTGATATTTCGACTATGTAATTTGGACTGTACTGTATGCCCTTGGCTGACGATTTCTGTTACTCAGTTTTTCAATATAGTTCACCAATCCAAATAAACAGCTTCATTATTATTTGATGTCAAATAATTCCTGCAAATACAGTATCATGTTAATTCTAATTATAGATACCAATGAAACGTAGGGTGTCTGATCACAATATTAAAAGCCCAACGAAGATGACGAAAGTATGCAGAATCCCTGAAATGCGTAAGATTATAACGTCTTTTGATATAAGAAAATTCTTATTTTAGAAACTATCCACGAAGCTTTGGAATACCTGTTCAGTCTGTATCCTCAAACGAGCTCGAAGAATCTTGGCCATCCTATTATCATGAAATCGCAGTTGTATGCTTTAGTTAAAAATAGAAACAGGGTAGAATCACAACTGGTATGTCATTTTTTAATTGTTTTTAAACTTTTAAATATTCTAGTCAGAAATGCAGACATCTCAGAAAATACGTCTGTTAAGCGTAGATGATCAAATAGACGATTCTGTGGGCATTATGAAGCTAGATGACTTTGTTAATTCTTTTAAAGACCTTTCTTGTTCTGCTGATGATTCACAACTCTTAGGTTTTGCCAACTTTATTGCATTTTCATATTTCTAGGGAGATTTTGTGATTTCACCACTCAAAAATACCAACATTTGAGTATATGTAAGCGTGTTGCTTCGGAGAATTTTACAGATAGTGAACTAAGTACCCTTATACAGTATGGTGCTTTGACCATCAAATCTGAAACCAGTTGGTATATTTCTACTCCACACCTTGGGCGTTTTATCCAAGCATACAAAGCTGGTCAACGAGGTTTGTTAAGGCTAATCAAGAGGACCAAATTCAAAGAACTATTACTATCAGTAAGTTTATTCTGTAAATTATCCTATACTCACACTTGGCTGTTAAAAGTTTCAGGAAGTTGTTTCTCTCTGGGTCATTTATTTGCGTAGAATTCACTTACCGTTTGCGAAGCAGACAATGAATGATTCATTTAGAAAAAAATTAAGAAAGCTGGTACTATGTTATGAATATCTAACAGCATAATATTTTCCGAGCTTCTTTGGTATTACGGACATGTATTTATTGTATTTTCCTGCCTACGTACTAAGTTTTCAATAAAACTAGAAATATTATGTGCAAAATTGCTCTCTCCGAGTGATAGCAATGTAAATTGCTTATTCTTGTGCGTATAGTTGATCAATCTGTAGTCACGCACCATAAGGTGTAAGTAATTCAGGCTTACCACACACCTAAAGGAGAACAAATTTTCGTTTTCTCGGAAAATTTGTACAAAGGGAGAACGAACCGGTCTGTAGGATGGAATCATGTCATTCCACGGATACTCATCATCTGAACACAACCTGAAATTGCATATGTAAGTCAAGATAAACGATAATGTGTGAAACTTGGGCACTGTGGTAGAATGTAATTCCACGTTAGATTTGTTTATATGATTTATAACACAGTGATAATTTACTTGATGACGTTTCGAGTATAAATTACTGCTTATAATCATATCAATGTGATATCGTAGAAACGTGCAAGTTAAAAACTAAATGATGGAAATAGAAACCTTATGATTTGCATAAGGAGATAATTTTGACAGAATTTTATGAATTTCTGGAGATTTAATCGTCAAGAGTTTTTTATTTTGAGATGTCCTGGTAATGATTATTTGAAATAATCGTATATTTTTCGATTAAGCTTCATTAAACTGTTAGCATGTTTGGATTTCATGCATTTGTAGAAATCTGAAACAGTAAGATGTAAACATATTTCTAGTGTTACTCGTACTATCTTTTCTGATCACAACCTGAATAATTTGACTGGTGTGTATTTTTAGCACTTCCATTCACCCGTTTTTCCTAACTATACCAAGTCTATATGCTAAATGTATTTTTCTGCTCATTAAAATTTTTATCCGAGGAAATTTTCCATCGACATCTGGGAAAAGGTTCTGACTTGGGTCATATGTACCATATACTGGCTCATTTGGGTGCTGGAACTTTAAACTTGTAAGTTTTTAACAATTTATACACTCCTATTTGTGTATCATAAAATTTCACTATTCATGTAAAGATTCGTGTTCTCGTGTTTTGAAGTCACTTTAAAAATGCTCACCTACAGACAAATACACACTAATAGTTTCAAATTTACCAACTCTAAAAAGTACCTAAAGCAGTGCAAGAATAAATTGTCTGAAAGATAGGACATTTCTTATTCCCCTTCATAAGTGCTTCCGATCTGATCTCTGATGCAAAAGGTTGAGTGTATCAACTTCGAATTCCCCTGTGTACTAGATTTCAATTTCGCTGAAGTCTCTCATTTTTAACCTGATAGTTTTGGTTAGACGACTGTAATTTGGCAGCAAGACAGTCGATTCAATCTCCGATACTCACAGAAACTGAGAATATTATTTTTGGTATATGATCACATTCCCCAAACTCAGTGACACGAAACTGACTTCCAAGTAAGTTTCAGTAGCCCAGCTCTACATCGAATTCGGTAAGAGTAACTAATTTAGAAGGGTTGATATACAAAAAATCAGGATTACATAGTTTACAATTCAAAACAGAAAGATCACATAAGTTGCTGGGTTTGAGTAGGATGACGTTCCGTCTTCACAGCCAGCACAGAACCTTTTAATTATCTCTGATTTCATTTCCATTGAAATAAACATGAAAGTGGAGCTTTTTGCCTGGCTAAACTTAAGCATTATCCTGAAGGAACATAAAAAAACTATGACAAATCATTTATTAATAAGGATTTATGCTTAGAAGAATTGATTCTAGAAGGTACACGCTTATGGTACGCTTTATTTTACTAGTTTCACTAAGTCTCAGTCATTCTCTCAAGCAATAAGGGAACAAAAATGAATTTCATCTTCATAATTCATGCTGTAAGAAAGCTGGCATAACACACCTGGAAAGCCTGTTCGGGCTTCGAAACTAAGCAAAATTTCACGCAAGTCCCAAATCACAAGTGATTTGATGTATGTATCACGGAAGGTAGGTTAGACGAATCATTTGAAATCTATTATCACGGAATTCTATATTAATCAACATATATAATTTCTCTTCAAATCAACAATAAAACGTTAACTTCCACATACCTTGCACTCTTGCAACATAATTTCATTTTAGTAAACATTGCGCTTCACGCCACATTCGCATCAGCTAGACAAAGTCAACGCATAAAGTCACGCAGAACTGCGTCCGTTAAAGTCATGACATTTTAGCATACAAAGCACAAGCCGAAAGAAAAAGTGATATCAAAGTCGACAAAAGTGTATGGGAGTAGAAACAATTTGAAAGATTAAAGTCAGTGAGAATGTTGAAATTTCGAAGATTTCAAACAGTGAATACATTTACGTCACTGTGACCGATTTTCAGTCATATCACCAAGGCTTCCCAATCATTGGTTGTTCTTACCCCGAGGACACCAACCAGGTCGTGTACACCTCCCTACACGACTCAAGCCAACATTTGGAGACTTGATAGATGGGTGTGACGTCTTTTTTCACCGTATTCAGTCTCCTTTTGAGCCCATGCAAGTAAGGCTAACATTGGGAGTCGAGGTAGGTAGGTAGGTAGTGATTGGGCATGCGCAACAGTTGTCGAATCCATTTCGGGGAAACAAGCTTCACACCAGCATAGCTTGTCGGGTCATTGTAACTTGCAAGCCCGACAACCACGTGAAGGTAGAGGTGGTCTATCCAGTTGCCTAATCTCCCTACACTCGTAATGTAAATTCCGCAGATTCACAACATCGGTCAGATGAGGTCAAGGTGATGAGTAACTTGGGTCTTGTGTATGCTTCTCAGGAACAGCACGTGTTCATGGCTCGTGAGAGATTCTAGAGATTTTGGCAAGAGATGCTTGTTCTCTGGTTTAGCATAGGGTTCACACGTTTGAAGCTGTAATGAGAAATCAGTATCGTCCTCTTGAACTGCTAGTAATGGTCACAAAGTAAGAGGTTGACCAAGTTGCAAGGGTCTTATTACTGGTATCAAGAAGTGAAGGCAAGAAAAGAGACAAGCGTAAGGAGGGTACGTGGCGGTTTATTGAGTTTTTGAACAATAACCACCAACTGAATACTCGCGAGTGGATTAACCTGTATTTTACCTTACAGCATGAAGATATCGCAAGTTAAAAAGATTTTCTCCAATTAGTAGGCTTACATTTTTACCACACATTTCCGGAAAACCTGTCTCTGGGTTATAATTCATTAAGAAGTTGGGAAGAAATGACGGTACCACGCGTCCTGAAGTTAGCTTGGAAAAGATTGTTGTGCGTCCTCAGTTTATCTGAGAAGCTTTTATAAGTGACATTCATCATGATGGGCTCCGTATCACACCACTTTAACAGATAATTCTATAGCACAGTTCTCAAAAAATCTTCTCTAGCTATAACGTCGAAAAATACATTGATTATACGTATGATGGTGATGTAGCATCCAACTGAAGCTCGCATTTAGTCAATGCATTCAAAGTCTGACTAGAAATAGACCTGCTCCTTTTGACTCAGTTTCCCATGCACTTTGCATAGTTGGATGGCAGCTAGTATTTTGCGACGGATAACAGATGTATAATCAAATGACATACACCCAGTTGTATTATGTAAGTTCGTCATAATTAATACCATAGTGACCTTATTCTTAACTGAGGAAATATTCGGCTTGTTGAGTTTGTGTTTCATCTACCGTCGGTTTGGTACATCATTCTTAACGGATCATAGAACACAAGACATCAAGATTGGAATTGTTAATATACTAGGTTAACTAAACTACTTCTTTGAAAATCTTGAGTTTACGTGTTTGGGACCGTGATTTTGTCAACTGTTTAAAGAAAAGATGTTGATTATGCACTAAAGTGTGGTCAAGTACATACAAACTTTAAAGAAGGAGCGACAGAGTATGCTAAACAGCATATTAGCGATGACTTTGTGGAAAGTTACTGCTTGTTAGGAATATATTATGATGCACATGGAAGTGGGATACTATAATATCCATCGCATGTTTGTCGCTGAAATTAGTTGATATTGAAATTCATTCCTGTTTTCATTTTGACTGCAGTTTCTACTCCATGTGGAGACAGGAATGTATAATTTGGTTTAGAACGGTGACGATAAACTGAGTGAAATAAATACGAAGATTAAGTAAAAGCAGTGCATTTTATAAATAAAAGCTAAATAAAGTGAGTGCACTTAATGGATTGGCTTGACTAGGATAAAGAGGATCGCATTAATGCCCTAATATCTTCATTGAAGAATATATATGGAATGAGATACTGTACGAACACACAAACGGTAACAGGTGGTTATCTTAGGTTACAGATGTCTAAGCCCTTAACGTGACCTTTATCCCACAAAGTAGTCAGATTGTGACGAGTTATAATGTAATTGGCGACCGTAAATGCCATTTGAAGACATCAAAGAGTATCTTACTCGTAGGAATTCTTAACTTCTGTTCATTTAACGAGTCATTTGAGCAAAAAATATTCTTTTTAGTTAGACATTATCAACCTTCACTCTAATATACAAAACTTTCAAAATGACGCGACAATGTAAACAGGTGATCAGATAGGCAGATAAAATAAGTCAGCCCTGAGAAGGACATTAACGTCGCGTAACACTGGAAGATGGAGGTAGTGAATAAATGAATTTTGGATGTGAATATAATAGTGGTATGAAAGGGGTGACAAAAATAAAATGTAAAAGGGAAAGTAGTACGTTTAAAAACTCATATGTAACGTCATCCACTAGGTTTTCCCTGGTCAAGGTGGGGCTAAAAGCTGTACAAGTCTCTTCAGAATACAAAGCTTCGGACCGTTCATTCGAGTGCCTATTGCCTCAGCTATATGTATAAAAGGCAGGTTCGAACTCCGTCTGAAAGGTTCGGTGAGATACACTCCATTAATTTAAACACTTTCGTCTTATCCACTCTGTGACCACGACCAACTAGATGCTAGTTTGTGGAATAGGATCTCATTAAGTATATCTCCATTAAATTGTAGCTTTATGTATAGTGGTTTCTTTCGAATAGTTGGTGCTTAAGATCTTTTCCCTGATCCATTTCTATGCTTTTTTATACACTTGCGGCGATAACTTATTCCAACCGATGAATTCGAAATGGACTCCAACTCACTCTTTAGAGTGTCATGTGAACAGATTTTCCTTGCTCTGGCTGTCAAACATTTTACTAAGTTTCTTTTGTACCGTATAGGTGTGGAACTAAGGAAGTTTAAGTATTGACATGCTGATTCGCTTCTTCTGTACACGCTTCTGCAAAGTGATCCATCTCATCTACGTCATCCAGAATAGTATTGGTGTCTTTACAATGATCATAATAGAAAATTTCGAAGAGTAATGCTTAAGTTGTGGTTATATGTTCGTTTGTTTTTAGGTTTTTCGCAATGATCTTGGATGTCGTTCGACTACAAGAAGGAAGCATATAGTAGTTGAAGGTTTGCATGCTGATTATTTTCTGCTGTTGTAGGATATTCACGGTACATTATTTATTAGAATCAGCACTTTTTATGCTTTACATCTTTGAAGCGTTACCAGAGTGTATTTGTTGTCCTTCATCTCGAATTTTACTTATTAAGAGTGATGAGCAGAATGACATCTTATAACTGCAACGAAGTGCACTCACCTTCATGCAGTAGGCCATGAACTACAGATGTTGTGTGGGTGCTTGCGAAACTTCGGTAGGTGCAGTGTGGTTCAAATCGGTCACGTATTGATACACAGTCGAATGCCTAAATCAATGAGCTACAGCTGAGTTATAACTGCAACTCAACTACCCGGTACAGCTTTTAGGGCACCATATGAGCTACGCTCGTCATATATTGCAGTTTATGATAGTGTCAATTTCTCAAATCAAAGTAGGTGAAATAGGATGTTAGCACCTGAAACCCACTGGTCGAAAGTCAAATGCTAAGACTAATGACTCACATCTCCACGCTTGTCTCGTGGGACTTTAAGATAACTACATCAGAATTTGCATGGAAATGTGTCGGTAATTCACAAATAGTAGCTTGTGACTATAAAACTAATTGAACTATGCTGTACTTCACCGTTTTTATACAGGATTGAAACAAGCTGTGGATTGCTTATAAGAATGTAGTGTCCAAAATGCGGATGGCTTGCTGAATGCATTCAATCCAACCTGTCCAGTCTTCGGTTTTACGCGAAATATTGTTAACTATCTGACAGTTGATATTCTGTATCACGTTGTCACTTAATATTTTTGTTGAATTTGTATTCATTTTGTAATGATAACAACAGAATTTATGTAAATAAGGATTTAGAAATTTCAAACTTGCTTTTTATTTTATTTATTACTGCATTTACCTTGTTCCGCATCCACATGGATATAATTAGAAGACCATATGTGATCGGATCGTTTGAGTACTCCAGCTTTAATGAAGAACTCTTGAGCAGATCAGTTTTTGAAAATCCAGGATATGAGCATATAAATCTTTTCCATTCGGTCTATAAGAATGCGTAGCCATGAATTTTTACGGTGGATAAACTTTGAGGAATCCAGTTATTGTCACTTCAAATGGTAGTTCTATAGAGACTCAAACGCAGCTGTTTAAGTATAGTGTTCTATTCAACCTTGGGATGAAAAAAGTATGATTTTTGTGGATATGTCTGTTTATCAGAACCTGACAAGAGACGATAATATGGTCTCTGCACTCCCATCCGTATTTGATCAGCCTTCGTCGCTTTGACGAGTCCGAATTTCAGTGAGACATCTAGTGGCCATTTCCTCCTCGGGATTTTAGGCAAAGTGATTCCGCCTTGTTTATCACAAGAGGTTTTTTTTAGAATCTTAATCTAAATTGTGACCAGTGGGACGTGAATGCGTCGGCTTTCTTACACCAGATGGCTTAATAAGTTGTTCCCAATTAATAATTGAAGTCTTTTGGAGTTAAGAGATCTTCACCCGCGAAGGAGATCAAAGGTAATTGATATTTCTATCAAAGTTACTTAATGTTTTGGTTACGCGCTTCGATACAAATTCTGTCTAATCAAATTTGTTAAACATTACTTTTATTGATCTTTGAGAGAAATATTGAAAGATGTACATACTCCAAGATCATGTAGTTGAAGGTTTACACAATTGGACAACAGGCAGAAATTTAGCTGCCTATATAACTAGTTAACTATAACGCCTATATAACTAAAAGTTCATCTTTTTCGATGATATCATTTTCTATAGCTGTACAATCGTATTTTTATATATCATAAACATATAACAGTCTATTATAAAACAATAGGGTATAATTACATCATTAACCTAGTGCTGAAAAACCGGAATCAAAAATGAGTAATAATCTAAGACAGTAAAAATAACGAGAAAGGCAAGGAGTTTGAAAAGAAACGCAAATATTGAGTGTCCACTTGATAGATAGATGTAAGGGAGGTGAAGAATGAGACAAGGGTCATAATGGTGATAATAACAAACTAATTAATTATAATGAAATCGAAAAAATGTGTAAGTGTTAAGACCATGGTAAGATAAGAGATTGAACATACTTCTTTTGCACGCAGATATCAGGCTTGAATTGATAAATTGCCAGTGCTTCCGCTGTGCACAACTGTCGAAGGCACACTCCTTTTGTGAACTATTCCATCTGACACGATAAATGACACTGAAGGAGGGTTCTGGTCGAGCTTTATATTCAGAGTTGACCAAATGTTCAAGAATTGAACTGTTAACTGATTTACATTCCCCCCTCGGCAACCATGCAGGATAGTGCTCAGAAATACGTTTGGAAAGCATGCGCTTTGTGCGGCTTATATAACTAGCACCACAGGAGCAAGTAAATTTGTAGACACACATCGAGGCGGCCCGAAATGGCAACTTGTCCTTAAAGCACTCCGGAATGAGTTGTTGACTAGAGAAGCTGAACTGCAGCTTCGCAAAGAAGAATGTCTCTTTCAGCGATTTGGACAGCCGATTCTTCAGGATCTCTGCTGCCGTATCACCTTTGAAAACAACGTTCATAAACAAGGTCTTCTTTGGTACTGAGTACTCGCTCGGTATTCTGACTTACTTTCAAGTTCTTATCAATAAATCTGGATGGATATCCATTTTGCATGAGGATCTTCCGTAGTTTGCCTAATTCTTCATCGATAGCATTACTGGCGCATATTCTTCTGATTCTTGAAGATAAGCAATGGATTATATTTCTCTTTCTGCTGAGAGGCACCTAGCCATGGAAATTCAAATATTGTCCGTTCCATGTAGGCTTCCTATAAATTGATTGCTGAAGAGAGCCATCTGGTCTCCGTTTCAATAAAACATCGAGAAAATGGAATTCTGAGTTCTCTTCAAATTCTGATGTGAAGTTGATCGACGAGTGACAAGTATTGAACTTTTTAACTACAGTCTCAATATCTGTATTTTGATCAATTATGATAAGTGTGTTATCCATGTATCTTTTATGTAGGTAGAAACTATCAACTGTTGAATACAGCACGCTATTCTCTAGCTTTACCATAAAGCAATCAGCCAGCAATGATCCAAGTGGCAACCCTATCCTTTTGTCTGTATAGAATTTGAACTGCACGCTGAAAGTACATCTTAGAAGCAGTTCCTTTAAATAGTGCTTTGGCATTCTCACTTGAAAATTATTACCTTCAATGAAATCGCATAGAAAACAGATAGTTTACTTGCTCCTGTGGTGCTAGTTATATAAGCCGCACAAAGCGCATGCTTTCCAAACGTATTTCTGAGCACTATCCTGCATGGTTGCCGAGGGGGGAATGTAAATCAGTTAACAGTTCAATTCTTGAACATTTGGTCAACTCTGAATATAAAGCTCGACCAGAACCCTCCTTCAGTGTCATTTATCGTGTCAGATGGAATAGTTCACAAAAGGAGTGTGCCTTCGACAGTTGTGCACAGCGGAAGCACTGGCAATTTATCAATTCAAGCCTGATATCTGCGTGCAAAAGAAGTATGTTCAATCTCTTATCTTACCATGGTCTTAACACTTACACATTTTTTCGATTTCATTATAATTAATTAGTTTGTTATTATCACCATTATGACCCTTGTCTCATTCTTCACCTCCCTTACATCTATCTATCAAGTGGACACTCAATATTTGCGTTTCTTTTCAAACTCCTTGCCTTTCTCGTTATTTTTACTGTCTTAGATTATTACTCATTTTTGATTCCGGTTTTTCAGCACTAGGTTAATGATGTAATTATACCCTATTGTTTTATAATAGACTGTTATATGTTTATGATATATAAAAATACGATTGTACAGCTATAGAAAATGATATCGTCTAAAAAAAATTTTTCGCCGAATTATCTCTTCTCTATGACTCAATGAGCTTGTGTCGTAGTTAAAATTTCATCTGTTTTCATCAAATCGGAGGTTTCGGGTTTCTATTGTGTACTGAATGAATACCGTCTCAATTCTCAAGAAATATTTCCCAACAAGCATTCATTGAGCCCAACCGGTTTTATTGGTTGTTGCAATTAACATGTACGTGAAGTATGATGGAACGACACTGCGTCCTCACACATCAGACAATCAAAATAAACGTGTAGCCCTGCAAACAAATGTATTGATTCAAGTTACTACACTTTACTGTAGTATACAAAGAACAAGTGAATACGAAAAACTGATATCAATGCAGACCAAATGGTTTTGGTTGAGTGGGAGTTTAAAAAAATAGGGTTAGTCAAAACATTCAGTATTTAGAAGACGTTAAAGAATGAATACATCTGCGCCATTGCGACTGGTTTTCAGCGGTTTCATCTAGAGACCTTAACCACTGATTCTTACTTCTCACGAATTCCATCCCGGTGGTCTACACTGCTCAGACCAATAGTCACAGACTTCATATATTAATGTCTTCATCTGGTCACCCTGAGGTTTCAACCAGCCTCTACCATTCCACGTCAAGTTAGTCAGTGGATTGGTATGGGAAACAATTTCGAGTCGGCCCAGTTGCTGAAGATTCACAATCCCACCAACTGGATTGGCCAGTACCTTTCGCCTGACCTTGACATTGCCACGAAGGCACCTATCGTGAAAAATTTGTAATCTTTTCACATATTTTACTTTACATGGCCATGTCTCATAGCCGTATAACAGAACGGACTGCAGTGAAGTACAGTCCTTTGATTTGTAATGAGATATTTCTCCAGTCGGTGACAGAGATGACGCAAGCTGGCAAGTGCTAAACCGGCTTTCTGCATCCGAACGGAGACTTCATCGGCGGATTGATGCAACTCCCCAAGTGGGTAAAGTGATTTACGTATTCAAGCACTTCACTCCCTGTCCTTAAATTATGAATGGTAGCAGACCAGTCTTGGGGCATCATCTTAAATTTGACAGGTGCGAAAAAATGCCAAACATACTCAGATTTCTGCTAATCGTGTTCGGAAGACCCTGCATTTTGCCAGTTTTCACCTAGCAGGACGGTGTTATCTGCATACTGCGAATCAAGCATATGCTCACTTCCAGAGATTAGTTCAATCACACTGCATTCAGAGGTGCTTAAGGTTACGTCCACTAGTACATCCATGAAGAAATTAAACACTAACGGTGACAGCGCACACCACTAGATGTCGTTAATTCCAACGACAACTCCCCATAAGCCGTTGTCGGCTGCTTAACTTTGGGTGGAGGGCTTTGATTTACACCACATACTTGCTTGGTGCTCTCCTCACTGTCAGAAATTGCCACAAAACCTCATGGTGCACAGATTCGAATGTCGATATCAGATTATGAAATGTGACAAGTGTTTGTCATCAACATGTGTGTCTGTGTTCCAGAACCTTTCGCAAGGTGATGTGGTCGATCCATTCTCGCCCGGGTATGAAATCTGCCTGGTTTTCTTGATCTCTAGTTAGGCGTCAAGTAACTATGCACCCTACGATCTTGGACATGATGTTAATCAAACTGATTCCTCTGCGGTTACCATAAGAAGACATCTTCTCTTTTATAAATTGGAATGGTCGGTAAAACAGATCAGCCTGATGTCACTACCTCTGATTCCCATACACTACGCACTGCCTCGCTTACTCCAAGCAGTAATTTCCTACCTCCATCTTTAAGAACTTTGGGTGGAAAACCGTCAGGTTCTGCGGGTTTAAACCGTCTCAGGTTTCAAAAGCCGTTCCAACTTCGAAGGGAGTTGGATGCATGACATCTACCCCCCATTCAGTTTCAGACTGGATACTGGGCAACTGAAGCATTGCTGTGGCCCAGTTGTACTGTGCTTCAAAGTGTTCCACCCAACTTTCTAGCTGTCTATGCTTTTCGGCGGTCTCCCCAACCATCGTTTTGTTGCCGTCATCCTTAATAGGCTGAAACAATTTCCGAGGACTACCTAATGTTCATGTGTTCTCCATTTCTTTGGCTTTCACCACCCACCACTTCTCACGATCACTGCAAAGACTCTTAGTCAGTTCACCCTTGGGGTTCTTTCGCTACTTGTTGCGGCCATAGCTGGAATGAGTTTTCTCGCACCAAGCAGTTTGACTGAGGTTGAGAGAATCCACTGACCTGCTAACTTTTAAATGTAGGTTACTAACTGTTTCTACAGCAGATTTGACATCACGCCAGGTCTCTTTAGGATGAGGACTTCTGTCACGCTGACATAAGTGCCTCATTACCTCTTTCGTAAATACGAACTTGATGTTCTCATCTTCTAATCAAGTGTACACAAGCTTAGCTGCTGTTTTCAACGATCACTGAGGTGCAAACATATTAGCGTGTGATTGGAGTCCAAATAAATCCTCCAGAAAGAGCGTCAGCCTCCCAACGATCCTCTCGAAAGACGACTTATAGCAATATGATGTGTCCGTCGTTGGTTAGATTTCTGTTTTGTAGATACCTTTTTGACTGGCTTAGCTTCCATAGTTGAGCGTTGAAGTCGTCTGCTTCAATGGTTATGTCTGAACATTATGCTTTCTGTAGAAAACTTGACAGATTTTCATAGAATTCATCCTTCACAATACCCCAGCTGCTGTCGGTGGGCAGAGATCACGAATAAATATCGGTTTGTCCCACAATCCTTTCTAGTTTTGGCGGATGGATTCAGTCGAACTGAGGGTTGTTGACCAGTATCCAGTCGGAAATTGTGCTTTCTGGTCCACAACTTAATGTTATACTGACACCAGAGATCCCACGAGAACTAGTTACTGGGTCTTCGGGTACTCGTAAGGTGAATTTTGTAGATTTGTTCCATTGGCCAGGTGAGGTAGATTCAATAACTACACTCGGGTCCTGTCTCTCAGACACACTGCATACACCCATAGCTCGAGGTTCCAGAGTTCTGGCGAACGATGTTTGCTATCCAATTCGGTGTATGGTTTTAGAATTGAAGGATTCAACGTGAGAGCGACAGCTGTTTTGGGAGACCAGGAATGAGGTTTCGATGATTGGCAACGGTCGTGGAGTGAGGTACAGGAAGTTGTAAGAGGCTCAATATTACTATCGGGACGTGAATGAAAATGAGAGGTTACGCTTGATTGGATTTAGTATACCGTTTTAAGTGTGCAGGCAGTTTACACTTGCCGAACGCCTACACTACGAAAGTTGCTTCCTCAAGGTACTTGAGAGGAATTCGCGTGACCTCATAGCCCACGGGATATCCGCTTGGGGCGTCGCAAACAGCCTTTCCAGTGTTGGTTTGCGGCCAGGTTGTTCTAATGCTGAATAAGAAAAACCTACACCGAAAGACCGCAGGGCGAGGAGTGTACCACTCAGGGCCAACTTTTCCTAACCCTCCTTCCTTGTGGGAAGAAGGGTTAAACCTTCCTGGTAGGGTAGGACCTTGAGATAATGAGTTTCGCCCGCATAGCATGCTGGGTCATGGTGATATCCAAGCCTGACCACCACGTCAAAGTATCAGCTGACGGTCAGTTTTTAGTGAAACTCGATACTCTTGGAGAATTCCTATTTTCGAGCCTTTTATTGGTTGCTATTAATGTTTGCTTTTCTCGATCTTTTCAGTTCGATCACAGTTTGAATATCAATTATACACTCATTGATACACTGACCATTATTTCTCTAGTGTGCTTTACTTGCTTCGGATTTTCTGTAGGTCAAATGCATTTTTACGTATGATATAATCCGTCAAGTCCACGTGTGTTGCTTGTTATCTAAAGATGAAATGTGAACAGACTCAGAGGTAGGTTCACTGACAGGTGAGAAAGTAGACTTTTTTCCTGACTGTTATAGTGAGAATCATGTAATGACGTTGTGGTGCTACCCAATTGTGAAGTTTAAACCTATCAATGGCCTACTGTTAATAATGTTCTACTTTGGAGTTTAATTTTTTCATAGGTAACTTGTGATTTAAGTATCTGGTTGTTACCAAAAACTTGATGCATAATGCTGAACATGCGTTTCAGTTTCTGTTAAGATACGAAAATTATCATCACTGAGATTTTGCTTCTCGCTACATAAATTAGTTGCTTAATTTTGATATTATGAATACCATTCCTTTAACGACGATCTTGTATCTAATGAAGTTTAGAATTGAGTGCTCTGTAACGAGAAGTGGAAAATATTTCAGTTTCGTGACTAATAACGATTAGATACCTAATGTTCTATATCTATAGACGTTCTAATAGTTTAGCTTCTGGCAGCAGGTCAAAGTCAGCTCAATCAAACCTAAATGCTACAAGAGGAAATTGTTAGAACAATCCTCTTAGCGAACTCAGCAAACAGATAGAACATGAACAATCGTCTCTAAAGTAAGATTTTAAAAAATGTATATATAAATCTTGTATTAAATGACATATTCTTTGAGAAATGCTGAATCTACATTACTCTGTATAGGTTTGTTGGATTATAAAGAATTTCCAAGAATGTACTCCATCTAAAACTGAATTACTTTGTCAACAAACTGTTGTTTCACTTCACTGAGTGTGTGCAGAGTTGTATGATCTCAACAACTGCCTAGTAATAAAACAGCACATAACATACTGTCCGCTCCAAATGAAGTTTAGAAATAAAGCATGTCACTGCAGAACTACATCAACAAGCAGCAAAAACAACATTATGAACAAAACCGTTGGCTTTGCGACGAAAATCCTTTCATATCACTGAGTATTCAAGATATTTCTGTTCTGAACTTGATGTTTTTCGTCTGTATTTTACAATAGAATGTCGTTTGGTTTACATCTGACACATCTCTTTTTCACCTGTATCTACCTTGTTTATTCAATATCCTTTGGTTTCTGACGGTTTTCTCTTTCAATGCAGCAACATCTTAATCGATGTTGCTGAGTCTATTTGATTCGGCGTTGTGGCAAACTAAACTGCATTGACACTAAGATCTTTGAAAACCTTTCTATCTTCAGACAATCACCAAGTAAGAGCGTATAATAAATGCAATAAAGACATCCTCTTTTACGTTTTTATACTTCATCTATAGAAATAACTATCCCCATGACGATACTTGTTCAATTCTACTTGTACAGGATTATGTACAATAGACCAGAGATGCTAGCCACTAATTTGACTTCTTCACTTCATTAACCTACTGACTTCATCAAATAAATACTTGAAAAACGCTCAGTACAATTTTGATTGTAAAAACGGTTATATCATATAACAACCAGAAGGTATTCTATTTTCTTGCCCAATAGGTAATGTAAGCTGATCTGACTAGCTCGTATGCGTCATTTTGAGTGACCCTAAAGACCACCTCAGCAAGTGATGAAATCGCCAACCAAATTTCATTATTTTGACAGTAAAGTCAGTTTCACGTGGAATAATGAAATCTGGTTGACTGTCTCAGTAGTTGCCAGTGTGGCCTTTAAAGTCACTCGTTTATACTAAACTCCTTGATATGTAGTAGAATTTATATCGCTTTATTAGTAGGATCATGTGACATTTTAAAAAAGATGAAAAGATAGAATGTCAATAATTACAGTATGAAAATTGTATAGAAGATGGAAAGCTCATCCACAAGAAAACAAATGCCAAAGAACGAAGGTTTTAACAAATTATTCAGTTTGGTAATGCAATAGTTTATAATCATCGAAATGAACGACTAAGATAAGTGAAGTGTTGAAGCAATTTCAAGATGTCATGACAAGAATGATCGACAAGGTGAACAATAAAAATATCCTTTTCACAATAAGTGATAAGAATCTTCGAAAATATATCAAACCTATTTCTCCGAGTAATAATCATTCCTTTATTGTGATTAATTGAAGAGAATATAACGCAAATGGAAAACAATATATCAATTTTGATCGCTAAGAAAACAGGAGAAAGTGATTGACTATAAAAAGAATCAAATGACTGTGAAATCATTGTGGAAAAGACATTAGAGTAGTTTTAATAAATAATACTTTTATCAATCTTGAGTTCGTGCTGCATGCTGTACTATTATTCGGCCATCAGGTGGTGAATAGGAAAGTGAAAGATTTTTCCTGAATGAATTTCGCTCCATCGAATTATTCTCTACTACAGGTCCTATGCTGCCATAAGATCTGATTAGCGACATATGTTCATGTGTAATTGAAGATGCACTGAATATTCTTTGTTGTGACCTGACTGTCGGTTCAACGCGCTTTGGCCTGTAAACCATTAGGTGGACAGGACGACGAAATACTGACTGAGCAAGCACATGAAAAATGACAAGGAAAACAACACAAATTAATAATGGCAAAAGGAAACCGATAGGCTGAATTTCTTCTGTTTGACAATGTAATAAATTGTACCAAGCCCACTGTGTACGATTTATGGCATCCTGTACATCTAAGCATACAGCGAAACGATAACCAATTTGAGACACTATTTCGAGGTTTCCACGTTCTCCATCCATTTTGTTATGTCTCATAAGCTGACTGGTGTAAAAATCTAACAATGTGTGATATACTTCAGAGCAGTTTTGACAAACCATGTTACTGATATTCAAGCTTTTACGAGAAGGGAAGTTTAATACATTGAGAATGGATATGTTAGGATAATTGATGAACTGATTAAAACACGTCAGGACATTATCAAGTTTATCAAAGAAAGTGTAGACCTTTTTACTGTAAGCCTGTAAGTTGTAAAAAGAATTCAACGAATTTTTCGACAATTTAACCTTGTGAGATGATCCAGTTAGTATATCGACATTGTGATCCAAAGTGGACCTTTCAAAACAATGGGAACAGAAAGAACTGTCCCACTTTTTGTAAATGAAATCAATCGAATCTATTGTGCCCTAAAAATACAGAAATGACAAAGATAATTTACGATGGGGTACAACATAATAAAAACTAAATGACAAAATGTATGCAGAAAATCAATTCTGAAGGATTGTTTAGCATAAAAGTCCATGAAAGTTAACGTGAATACTCTTGAACGAAGTACAAGTCCAATGTGCAATTGATTAAAAAGCACTCACAATTTTTCTGTTTCACAGATTGTTACATAGATCAAATGATTTTTGTCTTACTTTAGATTTTTAAAATATGTTGACCACATGAGATCGATTCATTATCATTAGTCACAAGTGGATGTGACTACAATTTACCAACCAAAAATTTTTAAAGATATCTTCGATAACAATAACATTGACTAAATAGGTCTTGGAAAGTAGGCATAAGGCTATTGTAATACCTCTTCATTGAATTTGTTTCAAATTATTATCATGCACCACCATCGCAGAGTACACCATCTTCAAACCTAACTTCATTGATCTCCCACGTCACAGTCTCGAATCAGATTTCTGTGAAATTCATCTCAAATTGAGTCGAGAAGATTAGAAAAATACTCACCATTAGATTTTAGCACAGTGAATGAATGCTAAATTGCTTGCTGTGAAACCTAACGGTTCAATACTTGATCCCTCATAGAGTCATGGATGCTAACCGTTGAAGAGTTTCACAAAAGGATGAGATAATCCTTCAGTGTTTCCAGGTCTCCAGTGGTTTTTCATATGATTTCGGTTTGTGATGAAAGCTACATTGAAGCGAATCAATCCATAAAAACTACCAGCTGGATATCTATATATACATTAGTTAGGCAAACGGTTTCCTGAGTAAATAAAAAATCTGCTTTCTAGTTCAGTTACATATATCAGCGTTTCTTCTTCCGAAGTGGCCACGTAGTACATTTAACCTCATAGTTTGTAGTTACATTTTTTCACCCCAGAATATATATTTGTCTGTATATGATGAAATTCTTTCCATGTAAACGGATATTTCGTCCGTTTCTTTCTAACTCTGTTCTTCTACAATGAGTCAATGTTTTAATTATGTGGTGCTTACCAATGTCATTTTAAAAGCAAACTCAAGTTAGGCGTTAAAAACGAGCTTGTATTATCAAATTTCGACTGCAGAAAGTCTCACCCATTTGCAATTATTCGCATGCACTATGGGCATACTTTATTCGGTGATTCATCACTGCTTTATGCACACAAGATTAAGTAAGGGAGAAGCAACTTCAAGCTTCGTCCCATCTATTCAGAACTAACCAGCTAAGCATTATCATAAACCGTCACACAAGAGGTGTGGATGACCATCGACTGCACGAATCTGTATATGATTAATGAGGTACATATGGTTTTTAAATGAATAGGTGGAAGATTTAATGATACTTTTTTATACTACAACCAGTTGTGAATGGTACATTCCATCAAAAAGATAAGATAACCTTTTTGATTCGGAAAAAAAGTGATTGTGTTAGTAGTACCCTTTAACTTGAATAGCTTAATAAAGGATATTTAACAGCTGTTTTAGACAATGATGAGACAAATGATGTTATATGACGACAAAATCTCTACTATTAAACCACAGAGAAAAACATCAACATAGAACCTGACACAGAAGTGTATCAGCTTAAGCTGTTATATACTGCAGGAGTAAGCAAATAAATGGCGACAGAAATATGCCATTAAAGTAGACAAAAGTGAGTGTGAGATGAGGAAAGAAATGAAGGTTGATAAAAGATGTCAAAGAGTTAATACATCTCTGCGATTTGGACTAATTTTCTGCCATGTTAAAAACGTTCTCAAACCACTGATTCCTCTTACCTTGAGGACACGAACTAGCTAGTGTACATCTCACTACATGGCTCAGACCAACATCTGAAGACTTCGTGGATTGGTGCCACTTCTTGGTGGCGCCACATCCTTCCAACCCTATCCAACTATGGCTAACATTGGAGGTCGAAGTAGGTAGGTGATAGGTGGGCATGTGCACATGTCCAAACCACCTCAGTCGGTGAAGACTCACAATTTCATCGACTGACCTGCTTGTTTACATAGTACACTCACATACTTCAGTCACATGCGAGTAGTGCTAAGAGGACATCTTTGATCAGAAACGTGTAGTCTCAATATCTCTGACTCTCAACCGCCACGTTCCACAACTGCATAACAAGACAGTGCCAAATGCAGTGCAGTATGCTCGTCCATCAATACGCAGTCAAATGTCTTACCGACACCATAAATAGCGTTAGTTGGTGACTACCAAAAAGGCCTTTTTGTTTTCGAGCTGAGATTTCGTCAGCGGTCGACTCATCTGAGCTGACAAAACACCTCAAGTAAGTGAAGTAGTCAAGACATTCCACCTTTTCACTTCCTACTCTTATACTCGGAGTTGGTGCAGGTCAGTCCTGAAGCATCATTTTGCATTCGGCAGACGTTCAAAAGACTCAACATTTTTTCAGCATCTTCACCTAACAGGACAATTTCACTTGCGTACTCTAAGTCAGTCAGGTGCCCTCCTGAGAATAAGTCAGTTTTTGTGAAGTGGAAAGTGGCTAAGATTATTAGCTGATAGCACTGCTACAACGAAGTTACAGAGTAACTGTGACAGCTGACGTACCTGAGGGAAACCATTGGTCTTCGTTACTTCGGAAAAACCCCGTCATATGCCTTTACACATACATGCGCCTGAATCCGAGCAGAGGGCCTTTTTTAGCATTATGTACGTGTTTGTTAATCACTTCACAGTCAGACACAAACCCAATTAGTCTTGGTCAATAGAGTCGAATGCTGTCTTTAGGTCAAGAAACATGACAAATGCCGTGGGCTGGTAAGTATGACTGCGTTTCACAAGCTGTTCTAGGTTTAAAACGTTATCAATGCACCCTCTTCCAAATCTGATACCTGCTTAGTTACGTTGAGGCTTTTGTTCTTGAGCTCCATTTAAGCCTCAGGTAATCATAAACTGTCAGACATTAAATAAGATGTATGCGGAACTGATTCTCGTGTGATTGTCACCTTAAGATCCTTCTCCTTTGTTATACTTTAGAACGATCATTGATCTAAGTTTTTTTAGCTATAGTTACCTCTGATTACCACGCCTTAGTAAATACCTACGTTACCTTTACGTTATTTCCTACATCTACCCTTAAACATTTCTGATAACAAGCCGTTAAGTTATGCCGCTTCGCTTTGATTTAGCTTTGAAACAACATGTTCAACTTCGAGGATATTCAGAAAACCGACCAATCCTCGCCAGTGATGGCTTGTGGCAATATGACTAGCAGAGAAATCCAGGACGAACGTTTCGTCCTATATGGGGCCCGCCAGCGGGATGGACCTCCACTTCAGTGAATGGTGTCCACACTGACTCGAACCTCGTCCTCACTGCTTCAAACGCCAAAGTGTTATCCACTGGGGGCACGATAGCCACCTCTTGTGCACCAGGTATCAATTATTGTCTATTGGTACTTTTAATTTCATGTTTCTATCTGCCTCCGTCGTTGTTTTGATATCAGCTAACGCAAAGTGAGTTAGTGTCTCACCACATGATTGACGTTAGTACTGGCTAGAAACAAGTGATTGCAAGACATGTTAGTTGGTTGGAGGCAACCGTTAGCAGGCCTCCTGATAGCGTCTTTGACCGCAACACAGGATGACGTTGGTTCCAGTCTGACAGGAAACATCAGTTTCCTTGAGTGTGCAGCTATGCGTTGCTGACAAGTGTCAATAAGGGAGAAACCTAGGTCGAGCAGGGCTTCTTGTCGATTGTTTCAAGTCAATTAACATCTATGAATGTCCACAGCTATAGAGATTCTCCTAACTTGGTGGCCACATTGCGAAAATAAACAATGGAATTCAATGAACACTCAGGATTAGACAATACGAAATTGAATTTTGAGGGAGTTATGGGGGTTTGGAAATATTTCAAGTTGTTATTCACCGTAGACTGGCATCAGTTGGAGAAACAAAGGAAACCTGGACAGCTGTTTCATCCTAGTATGGGAATTTTTAGCAGTGCGCACCCATGACCCTGCCAGGGATCGAACCGGTGACCTTCAGGTTCCGCGGCCAGCACGTTACCATTGAGCCACTAGGTCAGAATCCAATGGTTCATATTTCTCACTTCTAGTAGCTCACGATATAGCGCAACCGCCACTCAGTGTCATCGCTGAGTAACTGTCCTCACGACCATCAGGCCTTGCCCCCACCAGTCACGACTTCCCTGGCGGGGTCGTCGGTGCGCACTGCTGAAGAGTCCCATACTAGGACGAAACAGCTGTCCAGTGCTCCCAGGTTTCCTTTGTTTCTTCGACTGATATCAGTCTACGATGAATAGCAATCTGAAATACGAAATTGGTTAATCTACAGTGATTAACCAAGGTATATAAATTGCAGCAGACGATCAAGCTTGTTAACTCGTTGGCATAGGATAACTTTCCCCTATTTGAGCACTAAAGTCGCCTGCTGCGATGACCACATCTAGGCGTTTCGCTTTAAGTAGCGCACTGAAAGCTTTTGGTAGCAGTACAACTTGGACTTTGAGACCCCATGATAATGTAATTTGGATACACTATGATGGTTACGGCGTCTAGGCTTAACACAACCCAGCAGGTTTTTCTAAGATGGTAGAACCTCAGGCAACATTTGTTGCAGCTAGCATAGTTTGGTGGCACAGGTTAGCCTAACCAGTACGTTCGGATAGTAGCTGTCAGTTGAATAGTAGCTACCACCTAACTGATGAAACGATCAGAAAGGTGAAAGGTTATAAATGAAACAAATAATATAGCGTCATCAAAAAGCTATAAAAGAATTGATATCATGCCAAGTAACTATGTCGGCAAGCTTCAGAAGTCCCAGGATGATACTGCTTAAAACTGTGGGGTGTAGATGTCGCTGTATCTAGCGGTTGCAACAAAAAAGCTTTGTGCTCATGTCCATGGTATTCATCTCATTTCTAAACAAGTAAAAGGCGTCTTATTGTTTGGCAGCCACAGAAGAGTCAAAACATTCCAGATAAGTGATAATCCAACTTAGAAAGATCCGACCACAATGTGGAATATTGCTCTTAAGTTCAAATTAGGCTTTATCCAGAATACTGTAATGAGAGATGTAAGCTTAAGCAGAAAAAATCTTGCCTTAACAATTTCCAGAAAATATTATCCGCACCACAGTGATGGAATGAGTTAGATTAATTGAAATCACACAAAAAAGACCAATAAGGACATCATTAAAATGACATCAGGACTGTTGATTTGTACATCGATCTTCTGAATATTGATATAAAACAGCGTGGTAAAAACATTTGCCCCTGATGTGCCCTGTGAATCAAAGGAGTGATCCAATCAAAATTTCTTAAAATTGGATTATTTATCATTTCACCTGGTCAAATGTGAAAGATGCTTAGGATTTAACATTACAGACAACTTATAACTTCGGACAAACCCCACGAGTCTGAATCAGTCTTACTTGCAGCAGCGATCAAAAAACTGACCAGCTACTGCGATCATGCGCAGTAAAACATGTTTATATTTACCAACTGAGTGGAAAACTGTACTACTGCGGATGACACATGTACTTAGATATCACAACAACACCAAAACGTGTCGCAAGTTGGCACAAGTCATTAAGGGATTTTATGTTCGTCCTGTGATTTTACCAACCGAAAAAAACCACAAAAGACTTTGTGGACTGACAGGTCGATATACGAAACAAGAACTAGTGACTCATATCTTGATGAAAAAAGTACTTAACGTTAATTAAAGCAATAAGTTGAGATGCGTATCTTATAACTGCAGTGTACAAAATTTATCACTGCACCTAAAAGTATGCTTAGCTGTTCTTAAATCTTAGTGTATACACAAAAATATTTATTCACTTAATATACTGATTTTCATATCATGAAAAGCTTACGCATACAGATATGGTTGATGATACATCGAAAAATAACAAATGAATAAAACGTTTGTCTACATCAGCTGCTAACTCGTGCACGTAAAAGAAAATTTTTACTCACTCAGACTATTTCTTCATTTGCTTAACCTTCTCTTGTTCTGAACTAAGGTTTGGCACCAATGTATGAAGTCTCTGACTTTTGGTTTAAGCCATGTAGGACGATGCAGACTAGGTGGTTGGGGTCCACGGGACAAGAGGAACCAGTGGTTGGAGACCCTAGGTGATATGGCTCAGAACCGAAGTCAGTGGCGCAGATGTATACACACATTATCCTCATCTTAACAACGCTATACCGAATCTCACTATTTTGTCACTCCTCTTTCCTTTCTTCTCATACTTTATATTTCTTTTGACTGCATTCACTTATCTTCATCCTTCACCTCACTACCTTTTTACTTGATGTGCTGATATGAGGTGTGGCAACTCGGACCGTTACGCAGTAATGCCTGGTCCTATGTTGATAATGATGATGATGATGATGAACTAAGGTCTTTCTCTACCATGTTTCCCAACCTTTTTTCTTGTTGCCTTGTATTCTGATACAATGCGATGTGTGGTAACTTTAACCACTAAGTAGCATTTTTAGGCTTCATATTGATGTTGACTAGCTCATTTCGACTAACTAATTGCAAATATACGGATAGACGAAATAGTTAGTCCATTTGTAAGACAACCCACGCACACGTCAAAGCAACTGATTCTACCTGACTTTCTAAACTGAGATAGGTGACATGAAATCTAAGCTCAAGACTCAGGCCTTATAGAAAAGGGAGTCGACTCAGTATGCGGTGAGCCACTATCTTTAACTCTTATCCGTGTCTTTTCATCCGTTTCAATTTATTTTATTCCCAGGGCGCACCCTAATCTAACCACGATTAGATACTTGGTCATAGTAATTCTTTTGACAGCTCCGAATACACTAGTCAAACGCCTCTTTTTGGCTACAATGAAAGGACCTACCTTTTCTGTATTAGCCAAGAGATCAAAACATGACTTCCCGTCGGCATTATGATATTCAGGGTTTTCCAAAATGACCCCCATTTTCTGTACGGCTTCGCAACACCAACCACAAAAGGATGTAGGCGCTGCTTTTTCAGACATATTGTATATGATGTCTTTTACATACTGCGACAGGTTTCTTCTATATTCAATACACAAGGCATTATCTGCGTTGCTCTCATTTTTCGTGGATAAACACAATTCATGAACAAGCATCACTATGAAAAAAATTACGCTGGTTTTATCGTTTACAGACATTAAAGTGTAGATCACGCTGTAGTGCAAAATGATAGATGATTGACCACGTACGATCCCAAGGTCGGTAGCCTGAAGGTAGCGCAAGCATTTGAAAAGACATCTAAACAGTTCAAGCAGTTCAGATGGTTCAAATAGTTGTTGATGGAATAGAAGCTTTCGTTTAACTGGCTTCCGCGTCCACAACCCATGGATCACTACTCCTTATAGTTTGTAACTTGAAAGACGATTGTCCGTAACTGCAGTTGAGGCCGTATTAATCTGTTGAAGATTAGGTGAAAACGCCAACGATCGGACTGTCCGAAAATTCCTCTGTGGGTTACCGACACCAAGTTTCCATGAAATGCGTTTCTATTACATTTGGTAAAGGATTTCAGGTCATGGGTTACAAATGCACCCAGATCCCTCTCCGTCAGCAATACTTCAAGTCCCATGTCGTTGAGGTTGTATGCATGAATGCATCATGTTTTCTGTATATCACCTGGGACTTTTCAGGATTAAGTGCGAGATCTTTTTTGACTGCTCAGTTTTGAAGTTGGTTTAAGTCTTCCCGTAAAGAAATGGCCTTCCTCACCTTCGATTTTTCTCCACAGTTTCACGTCGTTGGAACAAAAAGAATTTCAGAACGATCCCGTTGAAGGAATTCATTTATGTAATTAAAAAAGGAAAGGCCTTGGTACTAAACCTTTAGGAACACTACTATGGCATTCTTTTTCTTCCAACACACGAACCCAACCAAATTCCAGATAAACGACCTGATAGATTTGAAGGCAACCAGTCACTGGGTGATGATCTCACCCTGATTAATTTGAATCTGTTATCAAAACGACCAAGCACCTTAGTAAAGTCAGGGTAATCAATATCAATTCGACGTCGACGGTCAATGCCAGTCCACCTATCTATTGCAGTCAGCAGATTCGTAATGCAGGAGTACCCCTTAGTGAGTCCATGTTGCTGGGGCGTAAAGATGATCCCTCGGTCTATCATGATAAACGATTCCATCACTTCAGAAGGCATGGATACGAGCGTCATCGGTTCATATTTCTTTGGGTTGCTGCGTTGACCCTACTTGGAAGTTGGCATTATATAGCCCAAATTCCAAGAGCCGGGTGCCTTCCGGTCACTTGGAAAATTTTCGAACAACTTACTTAAAGGTTCAGACAAGATTGATATCCCTTCCCGCAGTACCTCCGCAAGGATTTTATCTGGTCTCTGAGCACTGTCTTTGTGAGCAGCAGCAGTTTCCTCTGTGTTAGCTTAACTCTCAAGTCAACGGCCAGGAGTCCTAATTCGTTAGGGGGATATTCGTAACGACTTAGTGCTAACCCACGTACTCAACTGGAGTGGGAGCAACAGATAACTAATAGTTGGGGACCCGAATGCTTCACACATAAACTGGATGCAGCTAGCAGTCTCAGCACCTAGCAGTTCCCACAAAAATGACCTACTCTTGATAGTATTAGAACCTGCTTTAGTTCAAAACGTAGCATGTGCAACACTTTTCGATTTCAAACACAAGCCTTCGTTACTAGACTAAGTTTTGACCCACCAATGTGAAGACGTTTTAAATCTGCGACACTTCCATCCATTAGCTTACAACGACCCTGTGGTGCTAAACTTCGGTTTTCAGACTAACAAGTTTGATCCTTATGAAACCCCAACTATAAGCACCAGCCTCCCTAAGGTAACTATAGATAAAAACCTTTTAGCTGACAGTAACGTCACTAAACGCAGACCTGCAGGTAAAACCATGTACTTTGGGCCTACAAAGCTCCTGAAGAAAGCCATTTTAAAAGCATTTTGTCTAACGATAGCAAAGAAAACTTCGTAGCTAACATAGTTGCCATGGGCAAAACCGCTATTTGACACATAGGAAGTAGGGCATCTCGAAAAAACCCGCCGAAAGAGCATGTTATACACCTAACCTCAACCGTCAGAAAGAGACACTTCAATAACTTGAAGGCATCTGACATTAGACAGTACCCTATATCAAGTTTACCCAGCCATCAGGGCTCCAACAGGATTCCGTGTGGCATACCAAATACATTCATATCGTACAGGTCACATATACCCTACCCAAACCTACATCGGCATCCGGATGACCCTAGCCAGTACTTTGGGAATGTATGTTGTTACTCTCCTAATACCACCCCTACTTCTGAGCCTTATTAACATATTTTTGGGACCCCGAACAATATGTACAACCCATGGTTCATAGAATCGTTTCACCCTCCAGAAACACGAGCCTGGAGCTACCATCCTCGGTTTGCACCGATCATGAAATGCACTGTACGTCACCAGTAAGGATGAACAGCACATCAACTACGCATACGCACCCACAAAAATCGAGTGATCATAAATCATTACACAATAAAACTCCACTGGTCATATAGCCATCCACCACCGCTGAGTCTCATGTCCATAACGCAAGTAGCACGTCATCTAATGAAATGAGTATAGGAAATTTCCCTAACCAACTGGGGGAACAAGATATTATAAAACACTCCACAAGTCATAGTAACCTTTTCACACTTCTGCTCATCAATGCATGGTCGTTGCCAAAGGAAATTTCTGACTTGAGAACCATAGCCTTGCTAACTAAGCCTACAGTGATATTAGTTACTGAATCATGGTGCCCCACCTCAGTCCTTGATGTAGACTTGTGCACAGATGGTTATACCCTTTATCGCACTAACCGAGATCATAAGCGTGGAGAAGGTTGTTTGATTCATATATGTGGCCTCGTCACAGCTAACAAGATCGAAGATGGTACATTGAATGCTCTGCCTGGCTCAATATGGGTTATTATAAACGGCACTAACTATAAAATCCTCGTAGACTGTGTTTATAGAACACCATGTTCATCAAGGGAAGCTGATGAGCTTATCGCTCAGTCATTCTCCCATGCTGCATCCACCAACGCTGACTTCAAACTGATTGCAGGAGATTTCAACCTGCCTGAAGTTAACTGGGAAACCAGTTGTAGCCCACAACGCTATGATGGAATACTTACTGTCCTAGATCTTCATGGATGGAAACAATATGTCCATTCAAACACACGTGGAAGCAGTACGCTGGATCCAGTCTTTTGCCGTGACACCGTCCCAGTCATCAAGTACCTTTGTGGTGAATTCACTAATAATGACCATAGAATGATTTCCTGTTGCCTACCAGCCTCCCCTCTTCGTAAGGAAAACAAGGAACCTATGAGAAATATCTTGCACCGTAGCTACAAAAGTATAAACTGGGAGGCATTCATCGAGCCCCTCAGGTGCAGCCCATGGGCTGAGAACTTCATGACAGCCTCATTAACAGAGTCACTTTCGTTTTTCTGTAGAAATATAATGCTATGTCTAGACATCGTTGCTCCTATGAGAGCAGCTAAGGTAAAGAAGAATGAGGGTCAATACATCCCTCAAATACTTCGGAACAAACTACGAAAATTATCTAAGCTATCTCATTCCTCTAACAACTTTCTGGTGCTGCACTCAATCTACGATACTTACCAAGCAATTAATACTTTACGTGCACAAGATTCAATAAGTGAAGAGCTGAATGCCCTCAGAAGTGGTTCTAGGATACATAGTCTGACCTCCCTTCTGAATGAGCGTTTGCAGGCATTGAGAGATATAATTTGTTTATTACATAACGGAATGGTCTGTAACGATCCCCTCGGAATTTGTGAACTGTTTAGCGAACCCTTCGCAAAATTCAGTACTCGCACACTTAACCGCACCATTTTTCACTGCTCACCACAGGTTCATGCTCTAATGTGAATTTTACTGCTAAAAGTATCACAGAGGTCATCATGAACTTGCGACCATCAAAAGGTATGAGAATCGACAACCTAAACTCGATTGCTGTCAGGAACAGCAGTGACGATATGTCTCTGTTTCTGCCTAAGATATTCACCCTATCAATGGGAAGTGGCGTGCACCCCACTGAATGGAAAACTAGTTACATAACGCCTCACCATAAACCCGGAGACAAATCGAATGCAAATAATTACAGACCCATCAACATAACACCGGTCCTCTCCAGAATTATGGAAAAAGTGACTAAAAGCAGCCTCTCTGGTTACCTATTAAAAGAAAATCCAGTCACAAAGTCTCGCCATGGTTTCATAAAGAATAGGTCCTGCGTTACTTGCCACTTTGATTTCTTCAACTTCATCACTAGTAACCGTGAGGCAAGTAAAATCGTCACTGTTCTATACTCTGATATATCAAAGGCATTTGATAAGGTGTCTCATAACGTACCCTTGGATAAGCTACAATCATTTGGTATTTGTGGCCCCTTACTTAGCTGGATAAAATCATTTCTTAGTGGTCGTGCTCAAATCGCGCAAGTTAACTCCGTGCAGTCTGAGCCAAGACATATAACTAGAGGAGTTATACAGGGTAGTATCTTTGGGTCTTTGTTGTTCATAATCTGTATCAATAGTGTGTGTAACTGCTTCAGTGAAGGCAAAACATTCCCATGCGCCGATGACTTGAAGGTTGTGTACACCTGTCACCCTCATGAACCATGTAATGCTCTGGATACTTCCTGACAGGAACTAAGTAAACTTGCATCATGGTGTGCTGAGTCCCACCTTGAATTCAGTGATGACAAATTCGGTTGGCTTACTATAGGCAACGACAACCATGACCTGACCCTCGAGGTATGCGGAAAACAGCTACCTAGACTATCTTCTGTGCTAGATCTTGGCATCACGTATTCCGGAGATTTGACACTCTCGGAACAAACAGCATATATCAGATCTAAGTCATGTAAACTCTTGAGATGTATCGTTCCTAACTCCTATAGCGCTGAATCACGGGTTCTAAAATGTGCATTCGCCCACTTTTAGAATATTGCCCGTTTATTCCCAGCGGCCTCCGCAGAAGTGATAAACTGAATGTTGACGGGGTACAACGTTACTTCACCCTCAGAACATTAGGAACTGACCCTAATCTAGACTACACTTCCGGATGTAACATACTGGGGTTAGGATCACTCTGGAAGAGGGGACTTAAACTGTGCCTCATATTTTATTATAAGTTACTTAATCAGCACTTGCACCCTTATGGTCCGCAAATCAAGCTAATTGTATCGTCTATGTA